TCAAGATTTTCTAAAATTACCAAGTCTGTGATTTTCATACCTGAAATCAGTCTCTTAGCCTCCTCCACCATTTTCTTCTGTTCAGTCTCAGGCGCTTGAAGCTTTGCTGTAATTGCTGTCACTTTGTTTTCTGTGGCTGTCAGTCTGGTGCTCATCTTGAAACATCATAGAAGATGAGATTTTCAGTGAAAAGCATGAGCAGTAAGCTGCACCAGGCTTTGTTTATTGGTGGAAATTTCTGAAATTTTTTTGAATTGAGAGTAATTTGCAGAAAGTAAGTTGTTTTCTTACAGTAATGACTTTTGTTAGGTTTAATGGATCAGTATTTAAATTACTGCTATTCAACTTTAGATAATGATGGAGTTCCATTTGCTTACATTGCATGCATTAAATTAACACAGGCTAATTTATAGCAGAAACAGACAAGTAAGAGCAACAATTAGCCATTTAATAGAGAATATATGTGCAACAGTTTTGTTATGTTTAGGAAAATCGCCCTACCAACATGTGTCTCGGTGCTCTCAGCTCATCCGAGGACTCGTTCCTAGTCTTGCACTTCATCTGTGGTCAGCTCAGATCTTCTTCATGAGTACACATCACAGACAGATAGAACTGCATTCTTTCATGACTTATTTACCTCTTTTTTTGGGGGGGGGGATTACCCCAAACTAATATTGCAGAACATTAATTAAACAGTTTCTCATGAACATTGTTTATTGTATTTATACAGATGGTGTCTTGTCTACAGATGGTCAGTGGTTACAAAGTACACACACCTTTAAGATGTGCATTGAATTAATTCAATTGTTGACATGAATAATGAATGTTAGATTTCCTCAGATGGAAATGAAAACTAAAATGTTGGATTTATTTTGTATGACCTTAAAAGCTGGTTCCCAACAGATACTTACAAGGTAAAGCTGCTAGAGATATGATGATAATGATGTCAAAACCTCAATCCAATCAAGTTCACTGTTTCACAGCATGAAATCATCACTTTTGTGTAGTGATTTTATTTACTGTTTGGATGATATTTTTGCCACAGTTGCATTTGTTTACTAAGGATTCAATATAACATGAATTAACCCCAAGTTCAAACCAAGCAAAGTAGCTGATCAGCTTGTCACTTTGTTATCAGACCCTGCATTTGAATGACAACAAAGAAAACCAAAACTTTATCAGGTTTAATCTGACTAATTCTCCTCCTCCTTCATCTTTTTCACTCTTTTTTTTTAATCTGTGACAGACAGCTGGTATGTGCATGATTTTTGCCAGTGTACAGTGGCTTGCAAAAGTATTCAGCCCCCTTGAACTTTCCCACATTCTGTCACATTACAGCCACAAACATGAATCAATTTTATTGGAATTCC